TGGGGGATGCTACTATCGTACGTGTAATCAAGCCTAGCAAATATGGGTGACGATCACGATTAGTCGTCCATGAGTTTTTATACGGGCACATGACAATATATATGAAAGGCAGATCTCGATGAGTACATTATCTAAAAATACAGCTAGCTGATGTGATAATTAATTAATTATTACTAATGCCAAAGCTAGGATGAACGTGCATACAATATACAATGTGAACGTATAATTTAAAATGAAACCGGCAGGCCCAGGGCATATATATAAATAATACAAGAAGTACTCGGATATTACAAAATGTGGAGTCTAACTTGAAAAGGTCATCCAATTAATGAATATTAAGATAGTAAAACTTTATCGACACATGATGAAGTGTACACATATATGCAAGAAAGTCCGTGAGATTCACACCGATATTCCAGACCTTACGAAGAACGAGATAATTAACTTTAAATATATATATATATATATAACATACTCCATTCTTTAAAAAAAATTTAACCTAGGTGGTGATATGATCCATCATATTATAATAAATCTGAACAACTCTCTTATATCTTCACTTAATTTAGGTTAATTTTTTTTTTGGGACAGAGCACATATGCATGGAGTATGAGGATGGAAAAGATCATACGTTCAATCATATGATCGATCGAGAGCACGTGCTGTACATTTTTAGAAACATCACTACAATCCTCTATTAGAATTTTTTTTTTTTGAGAACATCCTCTATTAGATTTATTTAATCAAGATTTCATTATAAGTGTCCTGTCAGATGTGAGACCTACCTTTTAAAATACCTTTTAAAGAAAAAAAACGCATTGCAATTGCACCACATCAGGCAATAAGTGATGCAAACATTTCACATGCTCGCAGATGGTGCATTTTGTGGATATATGTTGTCCAGCTGTCATATGTACCAAGTCAGATCCAAAATTTAATAGTCGTACACAATTATGGAGCTATGGGTCACTGCATGATCAGGGGGCATTAGATCTTTCACCAGTGAATCCGTGATCAAATTTCCACAAAAAGTTGGAAGTTTATAGTGGAATTCCTGTGACTCTTGTACTATCGAATGTGTATGAAGATTTTTTTTTAAAAAAAAAGGTAAGTGCTATTACCTGGCTTTTGAGAGATCCAAAAACAGAAGAAACAGAGTCTTTTACAAAGAAACAAAGCATAGACTAAAAACCAATAGAAAACAAATACTGGGATCGACAGTTTATCAAAAGAGGTCCCCAAAATCCAATGAGTTTTCAACTTACAGATACCGTAAACCAAAGTAAAACAAATCGACAGATAATAACAGTTGAATCAATCACTTTTTCCCTCTTCTTTTTAAATTTTTTTTGGGCTTCCAGAGATGGCGACATGTATTTTTCATATGCAGTTGCCCTCCTTGTGCGGTGGAGCTAGCGAAGCCCGTTTCGTTGTGCTCCGGTCAAAGCACTGTTGTGGCTATGTGCGCGCTTGCTCTTGTGTTGGTGCGTTTAAGCGACTATGTCCAGTTGGCCTGTGTATATACGAGGCACGTAGATTGTTGGACTACTGATACTTCGAAAAATAGCGAAAAAGTCCTATCACTGATACCTCGTTGTGCTTTTTTATTTCAAAACATTTGACCATGAGTGAAATATAATAGGAAGAAACGGAATTTCCGTTTCTAAGGATATTGCTCTAAACATTAAAAATATGACGATTTTCTCATAGAAATACATCGAAATCCAACATCAATCCTATCACACCTCCTATTTGGCGTCTACCGTACCCATCCCTACGCGCAACACCCCCCCCTCCGCCTTCCTCACATTCACCATCCGGCTGTGTCTCCCCCAGCCGCCATCGCTCCCTCAACCCCTGGAGCTTGCGACCTCCTCGTCCTGGACATCGGTGCTGCCTTTTCCCTGTCTGGATCCAGCAGCAACTGCTCCAAGGGGAGGAGTCTAGCGGTGGGCTTGCTGACCAGGGGGACAATGGGTGTAAGTGCCACCGTTGAGCATCCCTCACCCCACTCCGGCGCGGGATTGCCATGCGCCGGTGCTTCCCCATCCTCGCTTCCCGCCACCCACTCTTCCTCAGTCATGTCTCTTACCACCGTCCCCACTTCCCACAGATCGAGGGAGGTGGATCGTGGACCTCAACAATGAGGCGTGAAGGTGGTCGGTGTCGCGGAGGAGCTCGTGGGCCTCAAGTAGGGTTTACAATTTTGAAACCTTGGTTTTTGCTAATAGGGGTCGAAAGACCTGAAATCACTGAAATTTCGGTATCTTTTAAGCCAATATTTTTTGAACTTTTAATATATTTTGACTGAATTTGAATAAATTTTGACCAAATTTATAAATTTTTGAGAAAAAACCAAAAGTTTCGGGGAGATTTGTGCTGGCCAGCAGGGGTTGAAATTACCAAAATTTCAAACCGAAATTTCAAACACTGCCCTTGAGTCCGCATGGGGATAGTGTGGAGTTTGTCCGCGGCCGTGAGCAACACAGGCTAGTGATAGGGAGCAGTAACAGCGGATGCACATCACGTGAGCTCGCCGCCACTCGCCCTCCCTCCCGCACCTTCCTCTCCTCCCATGGCAGGAGCCCCTCTTCTCATCTTCCCCTCTTCCCCTCTCTGGCGGTGGCAACTGCTTTGGATGGCGTGGCTCAAGTCACGAACAATACCTCGGTGGGGCGGCTCACAAGGACGAGCTCGACGGTAGCAGCCTTTTCTCCACCTCTATCCTCTTCCAGCTCGACACGAGGTGCTCTCCTCTATCCCTCCCATCCACCGGCGAGGCCCTGTCCTCCCATGCATGCGCCGGCGAGCCGCCCCTTCGCCGTCATGTGACCGTCTACTTCCTTCACTACTAATTCTTTTCTATCATTGGAAGGGGTGACAACCTCGGTGGTTGTGCTCAGGAGCAGCTCGGCGTCGGCGGCAAGCTCGGACGATGGATTCGGATCGTCTGCATTACTGCAGAGAGGTACTGTAGCTACAGAGATACGTGAGGGGCACAGTATTCCAATGCACGGAACAGTACCGCTACAGTGATGATTTACTGTAGCTACAGGGATGAAAGTACTGTGCGTCACTGTATCAGCCCTCAACCGCAAACCCCTTTGACGGTTTGACCTCCTCACTCAGCGGCGAGAACAACAATTAACGACACCGTGCAGCTGCTAGTGCTGGCCAAGGCAGCTTCGTCGGTGCAGCTGTGTGCTGGGCCACTTGGTTAATTAGCTCGCGGAATTATTGGCTCTTTGAAAATATTTTGATTAAATCCCCCTTGCAAGTGGTGTATGTTTATTGTGTAATTTGGCCATGTGATGAATGTGATCGGCCAGATTACTACGGATGATAGCTAGCAGGGTTATTTAATAATTCGAGCTAGAATCTGGATTTGAGTGCAGGTCATACTATTATGAAGATGACGATGGATTAATTCACTTGTAGCCGTTGTGGATGATTATTTGGTTCAAGGGAGCTAGGCTACTGCATTTACGTTGGCACTCTGGCGATGATTGCATGGTGCATGGAGTGTACAACGAGAAAATAAAATATGTGTAGGCTGTCGATCGGAAGCTGCAGTGCTTCACTTGCCTTGATTTGAGATGGAGACTTGATGCATCTGTGCCGCTGGCTGCTCCTTGGTTCTGCAGGATGGACGCTGATCTGATTGATCGATCTGGTGCTAAGCCGCATGCATGACCGAGGCAGACGTACGCGGGGGATGGTTTAGTTGGAGTGATTAGCGCGTGCGGCTACACATAATTTTCTAGTTTATCAATTTATTTCCTTTTCGATTGAACCTTACTATTTTTGTGTTTGACCATGTCACATGTATATATATGCGAGTGTACGGTTAGGAGAAGAACCCCGAACTCAATTTCAATCTACTATCCATCTATTTTACTTTTTTAGTTCTTTTCTATTTTGTTTTTATGGCTGAGTTCTAGCGACTCTAGAATTTAGTTGATCTTTACCGTTTTGCGCTGAAAAACGGTCGTGCTTCTACACGAAAGCGAGAAGATTATCCTTTGCTAGTTTGCTTGGAAACTAGTCGTTCGTCGTCACGTAAGTACGATATTTATCCTCTTTGCTAATTTGCTTGTAAATTAGTCGCTTGATTCCGTGAAAGTGAATTAATCTTGAAATCGGCTTTGCTAGCTAGTTTTGATCTAACGATTTTGGCAACTCTGTTGATTATACCGTAAATCGTTAGGTGATCTTGTGTTGGCCTAAAAAAGCGCCAACAGTGTATAGTGCTATCTCCTTGATGCAAAGGTGCAAGCTAGGGAATACGGTTATTCTGAAGAAGCTAGCTTATCTCTTCGCCAATCTAGTAATTAATCTAGTACATGCGTTGTTCCCATTGATAGTAATTCCTTGTTTTTCTTTGTTTCTGTGATCTGTCACAGCAGGGGTTTGCCCTGGCCTGCTCGTATCGAATCGAACCTTGTGTTATTTTGGGCAGATGAAGAAGCACGCTCCAACTTAACGGATGGATCCGACGAGATCGATATATGGACCCTATCCAAACAAACCAGATATGCATGAACAGATGGGAAACATGAGGGGATCAGGTGGCCTTAGCTAGCATCCGCCTTCGCCCAGCACGCTGTAGCTAGCAGTCGGAGGAACAATGAGGAGGAAGGATCAAGTACTGTGAGGGTGACGGCGGCTGTCTTCTTCGTAGGGTGCGGGGTGGCTGCCTGTCTCCTTCGCCTCGCGTGAAAAACGAGGATAAGAAATGAGTGGTTAGTTGCGTGTGGTGTCTTATTCATTTATCCTCACTCGACGAGGAAGAGAAACGGGCTATATATTTATAGCCAACTACTACACAGACTATAAGATGTTATATGCGTATGACATATAAGATCAATTATTAACAATATAGTATATATTTATAGTTACCTATTGTATAAATTAACTATTAAATTGATTATATATGATTTGTAGTTTATAGTTGGCTATACCATTAAACTTTTATCCTCACTGGACGTCCGTATACATGCGTTTCCGCTATAAAACTTCACTTGCTTCCTCACACTCCCCTACGCAGCTCAAGGACGCGGCACGTTTAGCTTAGGACAGTCAAACAGCAGCAATGGTGACGGCGGCGAGGCTACTCCCCCTAATCCTCTTCCTCACTGCGGTGGCCGTGGGCTGCAGCGCGTGGGAGATGAACATCCGGTTGCCGACGGAGAGACTGGCCTACGGCGGCGGCGAGGCTGTGGTGGCGCCGATCATACACGCGCTACGGCCGCTGCTGGGCTCCGGCCGGCAGCTGGCGGCGCGCGCCGGCGTGGCCTGCGACAGCTGGAGGCTGGGCGTGGAGGCGCACAACGTGATCGACTGGAGGACGGTGCCAGCCGAGTGCGAGGGCTACATCGGCCACTACATGCTAGGCGAACACTACCGCCGCGACTTCGCCGTCGTCGTCGACGAGGCCGTCGCCTACGCCGAGACCCTCAAGCTCGCCGGCAATGGCAAGGAGATCTGGGTGTTCGACATCGACGAGACCTCTCTCTCCAACCTCCCCTACTACGCCAAGCACGGCTTCGGGTACGTATACGTATATAGTTATATAATATACACGTATTTCTACCAGTATATACACTTCATTTTCATCGGGGCTCCCGCTGACCTTGCTATATACTCCCTCCGTTTCATGCCGTTTCATGTTATAAGATATTTTGATTTTTGGTCAAAGTCAAACTCCCTTAAGTTTGACTAAATTCATAGACAAATATAGTAATATTTATAATACCAAATTAGTTTTATTAAATCAATAATTGAATATATTTTCACAATGAATTTGTCTTGGGTCGAAAATGTTATTATTTATTTCTACAATCTTAGTTAATCTTAGTTAAACTTGAAGCAGTTTGACTTTCACCAAAGTTAAAATGTCTTATAACCTAAAACAGAGGTTATACAAACGGCAATACGGAAGAAGTATATATGATAACTGGCTGACAAGATAATAACGAACGGCAATACGGAGGAAGTATATACGACAACGGGCTCACAAGACAATACTGCTATATACGAACGGCAACAGAGTCCATTAATACTCTCTCCATCCAAATCCAAAAGTTTAAAACCTATTTCTTTTTTACCAAGATTAATAAGTAATTAATTCATTCATCATGTGATAAAATCAATAAACATGTAACTAATAAATACTAAAAATGACTTTTTGGGCTTCGCTCAAAAATTTAATATAGCACATAGTGACTATAAATAGTACTTAGATTTTTGAAAAAAAAACCAAAGAATGGAACTTTTGGATGGATGGAGTACTTACTAAGACGCGATCAAAATTGACATAGATTTTAAAACTAATCTTTGACTTTAAATTTCTCATATCCTAGTATAATATTTGTAGCAACAAAATTATAATCATATAAAATAAATTTAAATGACAATCCAATGATATTACTTTCATCAAATCAAATTTAGTTTGTAATATACTATTTATTCGTCAAATATTTAAAGAGTTGAACCTTAAAATACATGTACGTCTTACAGAGTCGGACGGAGGGAGTATCTACAAATCTAGTTGATGTCTGATAATTAATTAAATGTCAAAATTATGATGAACTATGTTGACTTTTGTCACGAAGTTTAACCATTCATATTGTTAAAAAAATATATAAATAGTATTTATTTTCTTGTGATATGTTTTATCATTAAGGAAGAGACATGCATACACATGGCACACGTACTGTCACATTAATAGATACATAGCACCTAGTTTATAAAAAAACATTAATAGATACATAATAGTTACGTAGCACCTAGTTTATAAAAAAACATTAATAGATACATAAGTTATACATGTCATTAATAAACTCTCTAAACAATAAACGATAGATACACAAGTTATACGTTTTATTGAACGGTGGATGTGCATAGGTGTTAGTACAAAAATCATACGTGTTACTAAACGGTGAATATGAAGTTATACATGTTAGGACTTGTTTAGATCAATTTGCTGTGGCAAATTTTTTTTGGTAAAAGTGTTGGTGGCAAAAGATTTAGTATTGAAGTTTTGCTAGTTGGTGTTTAAATGTATAATAAAGTTTTGCTAGTTGGTATTTAAATGCATGATAAAGTTTTACTATTTTACTAGTAAAGAGAGAGAGCACGGCTCCCAACGCATTTTTTTGGCAACATTCACGTCCAGTTAGATAACACATTTTGTCGGATACATATTGTCCAGCAGTGTCATTGTAGCAGTGGTTACGATATCATATCCAAAATTTAGTACATTGTACACAATTATGGAGCTATATTGATATCCAAAATTTAGTACATTGTACACAATTATGGAGCTATATGTGGACCAACTGCATGGTTTTGATGATGCTATCTCTCGTGGCCCGATCTTCTGGTGGAGGGATAAATCTCGCTTTGATCGAGTGCGACGTTTGCGACGTGGGTACCAACCAGAACATTCAAGATGTCATGCAATCGCTACACCACAAACCCATGACACGTGGTTGTTGATCACTGCAATACAAACGAGAGAACACATGAAGAACAAGATAAGATGTAATCTAAATATTTCGAATAGTTAATTATGCATAAAGAAATAGTTGTGATTGAAGTGGTAGATCTAATCGACTTGGCAAATCAACACACCAACTATTAGGGACTCTGAATCTATAGTTGCTGACTAATCAAGCGAGGACTAGAGACAAGGTGAATCGCACATGGCAAAATTCAACTAAACAAAACTCAATTGTTTAGAGGGTGTACATAGATATTTATAGAGGAAATACAACTAGGGTTAAGTGCTAATTCGTGGAGGTGGAGGGAGACAATTCCGAGATATACCTAGTCTATTATAAGGTCCAAGACCCAAGTTTGGTTTCAGCAACAATACTGTTTTATTTTGACGATTCCCATTGACTCGAGATGAATTTAGATATGAGACCGGATACGTTTGAAAGGTAGGGAGAAAATATTTCCATTAAGTCCAAAAACACCCCAATCGGAGTTGGCATGAAGGCGCTAGGTCCGTTTAAAGCTAGCGTTGTCTCTGGAGGCTGAACTGGATTCCGAAACTCATTGGATTTTAATATATTGTAGATCCTCCATTCAACCGATGTATTATTTGGCAATGTTTCATATTTTTCATGCTTGGTTGTATGCATATACTTGATGGTCACATCAGATCTTCAGTACTATAGTAATCGTTAAATCTGTCAAATTTCCAGAACACTTGGAATTTTTTGGTGGCAACTCCTATAACTTTTATACTAATTTCGAATGTATATCACCACTACATAAATGGACATTCAGATTGGCACTATAGGTGTCAAAAATGATATAAAATGATATAACTGACACCTATATGATACTAAAAGGTGCCGGTTATTCTAAAGAACCGACACTTATTAGAATAACCACGTGGCTCTTTAGATTAGAACCAGCACCTATATGATATTATAGGCGCCGGTTCTAAGCTAAAAGCCGGTATCGATGGCCGAAATCATCAGTGCAATTATCTTGGCGCCGGTTGGGAAAACCAGAATTTAAGGGGATTTTCTAACTAGCACCAATCCAGCTTTCTGTAGTAGTTGTAGTAGTGCATGAACATTTTTATTAACTATTTTTACAACCCCACGCAGAGCAACGCCATACAACGCGACAAGCTTTCGTGAGTACGTGGCAGAGGGGAGCGCACCGGCGCTGCCAGAGACGAGGTGACTGTACTACCGGCTGCTTGAGCTCGGCGTCAAGCCGGTGTTCCTAACAGGCCGCACCGAAGACCAAAGGACCATCACCGTCACGAACCTCCACCGACAGGGATTCTCCGGGTGGGAGAAACTGCTGCTCAAGCCAGCGGTGCACGCCACCGGTGAGCTCCAAGGGTCCGCCGTTGAATACAAGTCCGGCGAGCGGCAGAAGCTGCAGGACGCTGGCTTCATCATCGTCGGGAACATCGGTGACCAGTGGAGTGACATCCTCGGCGCGCCGGAGGGCGCCCGCACCTTCAAGCTGCCTGACCCCTTATACTACATTGGATAGGTTGCCGCGCTCGCGCCGGCGGCCATTGCTAGTTCTAATAAGCTTGCGCGCCATAAATCTAGTCACGTTCACTTCATGATGTTGCTTGTGATGAACTGCTTCTAATAATCGCCATCTACTAGCTGTTGGTAGATGATATTTCTAATAAAACGTGTGTTGGAGTATCATGGTTCCAGAGCAGTACAAGAATTTATCTATGTGAGCAAACTTGTTCTGTTTATCTCCGTTTAATTTATGAAGGAATTATTAAATTAATACAATTTCTTGCATTGGATATGCTTGTTCCCTAATAATAATTAGATTTATTTTTATTCTTTCGTCCGGTGTTGTTAGCTGTTAGCTTACTCCCTCCATCTCAAAAACCCAACCTCCAATTTTTTAACTGAGGGAGTACCCCTCCTCCCATAAAAACCAACCTAATACCAAATGTGATATATTTTAATATTATATGTATAGATTTGTAGTACTAAGATATACAATATACCACATCTTGTTCTACATTTGTTTTTTTGACCGAGGGAGTACGTGTGAGCCGGGGCATTCGACCGCATGCGGCGTCGGTTCGCTCGGTCGCATGCCGTGCCGCGTCGCGCTCCTCCCTCCTCACAGCGTCCTCGCCCGGATTCCCGCGCAAGTTGGTGACCGGCCCGTCCTCCCTCGGCCCCGCCCTGGCCGTACTCGTGCGTGCGTCAGCTATCCCCTGCACAGCGTTGGACCACCGTCCACCAAATCCGCCGCTGCCACGTGCCCTATCACTCAGCTTCCCCGGCCTCACCCTTGTCTTCGCTAGAGACAAACGCTGGAGCGCGAGGATGATGATTTCTAGGGGTGGGCATTCGGTCTTGACGGAGAATTTGGTCCGAATTTTTCGGTTTTAAAAAAGTTCAGGGTGTGTTTAGCAAAAATACTTCTAATTGGTCGTCCGATCCAAACATAAAAATCGGATGGCTCTTGACTGCCTTCTCTGACACTCGTGACCACACATCAGCACATGCGCGGCATGCCACCTTTGCCAGTGACTTGCTACTGCATATCTATTGCTACTCTCTCTCTCTTTTCTCTCTCCACTCCATGCTTGCATGTATTCATTTAATAATATTCAAAACGATTGTTCTCCTAAATTACTTTTTCAATCTACAATCCGATCACACCATTGTATTCGTTGTGATTAAATCTTTACAACAAAATGTCACATGATTATATTCTAATAAAAATAGTCATATGTTTCAATCTGTTAACATTCTTTGTTTCGTACGTAATAGTGATATGTTTCAATGTTTGTCTTCAACATGTTTCACAAAATTTCCAAAACCAAGTGCACTACTCTCTCTCCACCTCATCCATACATGCATGCATGCATTTTAACAAGTTTCAAAATGTTTTTTCTCCTAAACTAATTATCCAATCTACGATCCGATCACACCGTTGTATTCTTTGTAATTAAATCTTTACAACAAGATATCACATGGTTATATTTTGATAAAAGAAAAACATATGTTTCAATCCATTAACATTGGTTGTTTCATATGTGATAGCGATATGTTTCAACGTGTATCTTCATTATGTTTGGTAAACTTTTTAAATGTTTCAGTTGCTGATTTTTTTGTTTCACGCTAAATAACTTGATGTTTCACTTGTTAGTTAACTGAAACATTTGACTGACTGATTTTTTTTTGCATGCTGCATACATAGGTGGTGTGATGACACGCGGTGTCCGATATTTGGTGGAATATCGGACGTCCGACGCGGAGTCTTCTCCATGTGTTTAGTTCTTAGGGTGTGTTTTGGATAATTGGAAATGGGGAGTGGGATTGGGATCGAGAGATGAATAAAGGGTTAGGATTAAATAGAAGAGGGAGAATAAATGGGTACGATTTAAAGATGGGTGGGAAATTATTTTCCTTTCCCATTTGCCAAATACTATTTTTGGGTGTAAAGTTTTTAAAGTATACGGACATACATTAAAGTATTAAATGTAGACTAATAATAAAACAAATTATAGATTCCGCCTGTAAACTGCGAGACGAATTTATTAAGCCTAATTAATCCGTCATTAGCAAATGTTTATTGTAGCATCACATTATCAAATCATGACGTAATTAGGCTCGAAAGATTTGTCTCGCAATTTACATGCAAACTGTGTAATTGGTTTTTTTTCCCACATTTAGTATTTTATACGTGTTTCTAAATATTTGATGTGATATTTTTAGCTAAAATTTTTTGAGACCTAAACAAGGCCTCAGTCTTTCTGAGTTGACGACCGAATTGTCCTCACAAGTCTGCAAAGCGACAGTTCGGTTAACTGAAAGTTCAGTCTCGGTCTGACCAAGTATTATGTGCCGAAGGCAGCCAACATCGATTGGGAAAAAAAAATCAAGAAAATCAATCAAAGACTATCGTTGCAAAAGAAAAGCCCCAATAAGGCAATAACTCACTAATGAATAGTAGTACTCCCTCCGCGTATTGTAATATAGGACGCCGTTGACTCTTTAATAGACGTTTGACCTTTCGTCGTATTAAAAAAAATTTATGTAATTATCATTTATTTTAGTGTGACTTGTTTTTTCATTAAATGTTCTTTAAATATGACATAAGTATTTTTATATTTGCATAAAAAATTGAATAAGATGAATGGTCAAACATTGATTAAAAAGTCAACAGCGTTATACATTAAAATAAAATACGGAGGGAGTACATCATCAACCCCTCCGATCCCCTTCGTTCATCTCTTGTTGACTGCCGATTGATTGTTCCCTCGATGCAGTGTCGACGTCGATGACGGGCGGCGCAAGGCGGCAAGCCGCGGCAGCGACGGGCGGTAGGCCGCGGCTGCGAGGGGCGACGTGCGGTGCTGAGGGGCGGCACGCCTCGGCGACGAGCAACACAAGGTGGCACGGGCGGCGCGCGCAGCATGCCAGGGGGAAGATAGAAGAGAAACGGGCAACGCTTGATGGTGGCGGCGTTTGATACCGCCTGGGCTAGTAGGCTGATGAGATGAGAGATGGGCTGATCGGCCAGACTGCCAAACACTGTTTTTATATAGGGTATTTAGAGCATATCCCAGCAGCTCATCCATATTCAATCCTCCATATGCCTATTTAGATTATCATCAAAAAGGATTCCTCCTTTATATTTCTCTCCACTCCAACAGATCACCCATATTACATCCTCTATATCTCATCCTCTTATATTTTAATAGTATATTTCAACTACCATCCATTTATAATATTTTTCTTTTTTCACCTTTGCTTTATCTTTCTCCTTCACCATTCACTCGAACTCTCGAAGCAGCGTAGGAGAAGCGGGGAGGAAGCAAGTTGAAGCGGGCAAGGGGTGGCGGCGGCTGGCGAGGGGCGGCTGGCGAGGGGCGCCAGATGATGGGCCACATGCGGGGCGGCGGCAATCGGTGGATGAGGGGCCAAGCACACGCCGGATCGAGGAGGAAGGCGGCGGGCACCAGGCGACGGCGGCAAGCGAGGCTCGGCAGCGGCAGGCGAAGGGCGGCCACGCGCGGGGCGACGGCGGCGGACGAGGGACCACGCGCACGCCGGCAGCAAGCGGCGGCCACGCGTGGGGCGTCGTGGCGGATGCCGGTCCAGATCTGGTATGCCTCACTCCATGATTCGCTGAAAAAATAAAAGAAAAAACCGGCAAGGGAGCTCTCCTTCGCTAGCTGGGGACGACGGCGATGGAGGGGAGGTCGCGCCAGAGGGAGATGGTCATGAAAGTCCAGATGGGGGCAGGAGAGTTGGCTGTTGCAAAATGGCGTGAGGAGAGAGACACTCCATTTTTGCCTCTTCTCTCTCCTAATTTGGCGCATCCTCCACTTTTGGAGGGCCTGGTAGCGTATCTGGAGCTGGTTTTTCCCCTTCTATACGCCAAATGAAGGATGGATGGCCGGTTAGAGTATCTGCTGGCCATGCGCTTACAATAGCATGGATCCAATCAACCCTTTTATATATCTAGGTCAGATCGGTTACCTGATGAGGACGACCGAACTATCCAAAAAAAAAATCGATCTTCTTGAGTACCTGACCGAACACCGAAGCATAGACCGATGACTGAAACTTCACGTACTTCAGGTTCGGTTTTGGTTTTTTCGGTCTCGGTCCTCAGTCTCGGTTTTTTCTTCCCATCAAATTCTCTCGCCCTTGGCTTCCTCTCCGAGCCAACCGCGCCTACAAAAGCCCTGCCTCCCGCCCATCTTCACCTCCGTGATTCCGGTACAAGGATTCCATCGAGCACATGGTAGGCAAAATCTCTAATGAGCGATCGGTCACTGGAATCTCGGCGCGGCGATCAGTTTTCGTTCATTTTTTTTGCCAGGTTCGTGCACCTGCTCTCGTCTTTTCCACCGCTTTTTTTTTCTGTTTCTTCACGTGGTTTCCTTTTTAGCACCGCATTACTTTCCTATTTTAGTAAATTTTTGCACCTAAAGTTTGTACATCTTAAATTTACACATCTAAAGTTTACACATATAAAGTTTATACACCTAAAGTTTATAGACCCAAAGTTTATAAGTTAAAAGTTTATATACCCGATTCAAATTTGAATTTAAATTTAAATATTTTTTATATATAGTACACGTAAAGTTTACACATCTAAAGTTTATACATCTAAAATTTATAAGTCAAAAGTTTACATATCCGATTCAAATTTGAATTTGAATTCAAATTTGAATCGGATATGTAAACTTTTGACTTATAAACTTTAGATGTATAAACTTTAGATGCATAGAAATACTATATATTGAAAATATTCGAATTCAAATTCAAATTCAAATTTGAATCGGATATAATTCAAATTCAAATTTGAAACGGGTATATAAACTTTTGACTTATAAACTTTAGGTCTATAAACTTTAGGTGTACAGAAATACTATATATAGAAAATATTTGAATTCAAATTCAAATTCAAATTTGAATCAGATATAATTCAAATTCAAATTTGAAACGGGTTGCTACCCCCATTTGCAGGGCGATCGATCGCCCATTAGGGCTACCCGGGTGAGGAAGAAACGGGAGAGCCAGCAGTGGTCGAAGATGGCGAAATCGGTTGACGAGGTGGCAGTTCCTCTCTGTGTTGCTTTCTTCCTAGCATTGAAGAGGGGTACGTGGAGGATGGTCGGTTGGGGCGGCCATCGGAGAGGAGCTGAGGCGTCTGAGTTCTTAGACGCCTACCATGCCACCTCGTCAACTGATCTCGCCATCTTCGACCA